CCTGGGCGCTGTCCCTGAACTTCTTTTGCTCAAGGCTAGCACTCTATCACTTGACCCACAGCGCCACTTCCAGCCTTTTCTGTTTATATGGTACTAAGAAATCAAACCCAGGGCTTCATGCATGCTAGGCAAGCACTCTACCACTGAGCCACCTTCCCAACTCCCAAACAGATTTTTATTCATACATACTTTGTCATCTGTGGCAACTGTAAAAATCCCCATTAAAAAAAAAGGACAAGAAAATTATGAAATTGGTTCACATCACAGGAAATGGAAGTGTTATGCAAACATATTAAAAGCCAGAAGCTCATGGCTCACGTTCTGTTATCCTAGCTACTCAGGAGGTTGTGATTTGAGGATCATGATTCAAAGCCAGCCCAGGGCAGAAAGTCTATGAGACTCTTATCTCCAGTGAACCACCTGAAAACCAGAAGTGGTGCTGTGGCTCAAAGTGATGCGTGCTAGCCTTGAATGAAAGAACTCGGGGACAACACCTAGGCTCTGAGTTCAAGCTCCACACTGACCAAAAACAAAAAAAAAAGCCAGCCTGGGCAGGAAAGTCTATGAGACTCCATCTCCAAGAAATAAAGAAAGAGAGAGAGAGGGAGAAAAGAGAGAGAAAGAAAGAAGACAACCCAGGCATTGATGGCTAACACTACCTATAATCCTACCTATTCAGGAAGCTGAGATCTAAGGGTCACCTTTTGAAGCCAGCCCAGGGCAGAAAAGTCTGTAGTCCAGGTGTTAGAGCAGCTGGTTAAAGGGTTGTAGCCTGGCAGGAACTGTCTGACACCCACTTGCCAGTTTCTGGGACAGCGGCTTCCCTACCAAGGCCTAGGTCCAAGTCTTCTGAGATGGGCCCTGTTATAGCTCACCTATAGCTGGGATTACAGGCAGGCATTACCACACCTGGCCTCTCAAATAAATAGTTTTTGTTTGCTGCCGAATACTGAGTGTTTAGTCAATGAGATTTGAAGTGAAGCATTCGGTTGACTAGAGCATCCTTGCTGGGCTGAAATGAAGCAGGAAAGGTTGATGGCTTTCCTGCCTGCGGCCACCATTTCCTGATGACCAAGCTTTCACTTCTCCTTTCTAAGGCTCTGCTTCTCACAGGAACGGGCTCTGAGGGATGAGCTGCCCAGGTAGAAGGGCCTTGCCCAGTGGGCAAGGCTGAGCTGGACCGAGGCGTTGGTCCTCCATAAAGAAGAATCCTCTTGAAGTGACGCGAGCACCATGTGCACAAGGGAGTAAAGCGTGTGGTAGGGGATGCCATGTTTACACGGTCTCCAGGGTCCCCCCCTGCAGAGGACCTTGCGCAGCTTCACATTCTACCAGAAAGCTGGGCGCTGGTGGCTCACACCTGTCATCCTAGCTACCCAGGAGGCTGAGATCTGAGGATCTTGGTTCAAAGCCAGCCCTGGCAGGAGAGACCGTGAGACTCTTCTCTCCCATGAACCACCAGAAAACCAGAAGTGGCGCTGTGGCTCAAGTGTTGAAGCGCTAGCCTCAAGCACAAAGAAGCTCAAGGACAGCGCCCAGGCCCTGAGTTCAAGCCCCACAACTGACCAAAAAGAAAAAGAAAAGATTCTACAAGAGGGGCTAGAGGCGTGGCTCAGTTGGTAAAGTGCTTCCCAATGAGTGGAAGTGGCAGGTACTGACTTCAAGACCTGGTCTCAGGGCTGGGAAGGTGGCTCAGTGGTAGAGCACTTGCTTTGCATGCCTGAGGCCCTGGGTTCGATTCCTCAGCACCACATAAGCAGAAAGAAAAAAGCCAAAAAAGTGGTGCTATGGCTCAAGTGGTAGAGCGCTAGCCTTGAGCTGAAGAGCTGAGGGACAGCGCCCAGGCCCAGAGTTCAGGCACCAGGACTGGCCCCCCCCCACAAAAAAAAAACAAGTAAAATGCTTTTGCTTGTACAGAAATTACTAGACACCCCAGGTGGGAGAAATGAGTGGAATATTGGTTTCAATGACATTAAAAAAATGCAATTCCTATTAAAATCCCAATGACATACATCACTGAAATACAGAAGACAGTCCAAAAATT